CTAGGTGAGGGGCGAGGGGTAAGGGGGGCATCTCTCCCTGCCCTCACCGCTGCATGACAGATGAGTAGCAGGGGACACCTCTTCCATCATCACAGCTTTGACTGTGGGGGTCTTTTCTTGTGCTGCCCAGGCAAGGGACAGGGCCTCTCTCCTGAGCGCTGCAGGTGGTGAGGGACAGGGCCAGCTCTGCTGCTCTCAGGACTAAGCTCATTTATAATGAGGTGATCTGGACTTTTGTTTGGTCAACTTTAAGCAAGTGTTACAAAATTAGTTGCAGTTAAATGAATGAAAATAACGATATGGATAAAAGAGAAACAAAAACGGACAAAAGTCCTGTGAACTGTGTACAGCTTGGGGAAATTCTCTCATAAATAGGTTTAATAATATGTATATTTTTGTTTTTTTCTTTTTTATTTAAATTAGAAACAAGCTTCTTTTGCTTGTCAATCTCAGTTCCCTCTCCCTCCCCTCTTCCCCTGCACCCCACTGACCCCCTATCCCATCCCAAACATAGGAAGCTATCCCTAACAATAGGGATAGGAAGCTATTCATAACTAGGAATATACACTATCCTAAGTGACAACAATGGGGAAAGGGGGCGTAGCATCCTCCAAGTTACTTCCTGCTGAAATGGGATGACGACAGCCTTGTGGCGTCCTGTAGGAAGAAAATGTTAGTATACTGAAAGTCAGTGGATGGACTGTATCCAGTCCATGTTAGGTGGGATTCGCTTGACTGAAGATTTCACTTGAAATCCTCAACTTGATTGAAGTCAGTACACAAAGCTCTGGCCGGATTGTCAGTTGAAACGGAGCAAGGTGGATCCAGTGCATTCGAGAAGGTGTGGCCCATTTTCTTTCCAGGCAGTCCAGGGATTGCTGTCAGGCAGGTCTTCATTGGCTGTGTGGGACTCAAACATAAATGTTAGTAGAGAAATGTTTGCTTGTGTAAGTATTTATACTAGAGAAGGCAACCATGGGAGCATAACAATTATGAGAGAGTGTGTACCTTGAAAGAAAGAAAGCCAAGAAAAGACAAACACAATCCCCAAATTCTTCTCTTATTCTGTATTACATCAATTGGCTTCTTGATACAATACAGAAACTCTAAAGCTTAGTTAAACAACGTGCTTGGATTTTAGAGGAGGAAAGCCAAATCCACCTCTAAATCCAGCATTGGTTTAATTGAATAGGGACTAGGAAATGAAGAGAAATAGAGTTCTCTGAGAGACAGCTGTAACGTTTACCATATGGCACGTTCCTTTTGTTTGATGGTTATAGCTACCTTTTCTTCTTAAGCATCTACCCATGAAGTGTCCTTTGCCTTCTGGAGATGAGTTTTCCTGTGAAGATAAAAGCAAAAAACTTCCCTTTCCTTTGGGGGGTTTCTATTTAGTTTATAAGATATACCTTTGTAGAATACCTGTCATTTGTCTTCGTCGAGAGGTTTTTCCTTTTCCACTCTAATCTTGATCAACTTAGATGGTATCCAAAGTTTTTCTTCTCCTGTAGAAACCAATGCAAAACCCCAACCCCAACGTAACACATGTCCTGGTTTCCATACAGAGGTTAATACATCTTTGAAGTATACCTGCTGATTGAGTTCCATGACATAGAAATAAAACTATATAAATAATTTTCTAAGCTGTAGCATGTCTAAGGTGGGTCAGGTGACAAGAAGAGATGCTTCTCCAAGTCCTTTCCTGTTCTGAAGACTTCTGGTTGTGTAATGTGATGTTGGGAATTGTAAACTATCCTGAAAAATTGTTTCCAGAGAGACATCTGTGCAATACTGATGTCATGAGGGCACCTAGGCTAGGTGGTCATGTTTATGTTTCTATTAAATTCTGGCAGAAGTATATTCTGTCAGTCTTTGTGACCAATAGTTCTATTTTCCACTCACATTTAAAAATATTTTACTACTGAAGTAGTTTATGGGAAACAAGAAAACTAAATGTAAGATTTTTTTCCTTCAGGTTATCAGCATAACTGATATCTCCCATAAGTTCTTCAGCTCACATCTGTAATAGGTTTGTAAAGTTATGTCCCTAAATACTTCTAGATAAATATAGTAAAAAGTAGGATTCCTGGGTCAGATAATAGTCGATGCTAATTACTCCTAGTGAAAATAGTAAATGACTTGATGGAAGCAGTTGCCACAATTAGTTTCTGTATTTATAACACTGAAATCATGTCTTTTATGTTGCTTTTGCGTTCTGAAAAATATAGTTAAAATAGTTATGCCATTTATTTAACAATTCAAAGGCAACCAAACATCAAGTGATACAATGAGCAAAGCTATGCTACAAATACTTTGCAGACATTGTGGCTACCGTGCAAGACACAACATGGTAATTACACCCATGGAGCTCATAGTTAAATGGAGTAGAAGAGGTAAAGTCTCAATGACAACTCAGAAATGAAAAGCATACTGGGGGAGAGCTCAAGAGGTGTATGGAAGCACAGGGAATGGGTGCGTAAAGCAACATGGGTTGAGATAGGAATATAGTGTATTATTAAACACATTTCTGAATTAATTTAGATATCCCTTTTTGTCTACTGTTTGCATGATAACACATTCATCTTGAATGCATCAATTTCTAGACTAGGCAGTATTTTGTGGCCATGTTAGTTCAACCCACAGGCAGATTAATAGAAGACAAAAACAAAAAAAAAAGAACAAAAGTGTGAAATTAGCAGATATTTCTATTTTTAGTACACGAGAATTCATCTATTTAAATAGCTACATATTTCCCATGCTCCTAACACCATAACTACTACTTACCCTGTGGAAATTTAGAGTGTTGCTGACCCCTGTCCTTCTAGCATAAGAATCTTTAACTTCTGTCTCTGTCTTGAAATCAGAGCAGCTAGAATTAAGGG